GCAGTGTTTCTCAAGACTGGGACTGAGAAACACTGGTGGGTGTTTTGGATCCTGATGCAAATTCTAAATTCTCAACTTTTTTTGTCTTTAGCTCTAGGGTTAGGGAGTCTGAGTCCAACAACCCCCCCCAACCCCCACCACCCGACCGAGTGTGTCCTTTCTTTAACCTCTATTTGGGAGATCTGCAAAGTTCATATATATGTCAGAGAGCGTTCTGTCCAGAAGTGTACATGGTGAGGAAAAACACATTTGTCAGCCTGACAGCAGGCAGAACTTACAGTGCTACACTTCTCATCCAGTCACCCACACTGTAACAGTAAGGCTGGAGACAGTAATGTGCTTACAGCCACATTAAGAAGACTTGTAACAATAACAGAACTCTTTTCAGTGCTTATATAAAACCATTTTAAACGTTTTCTTTAAAGAACCATTTTTAAAGGGTGTACATAAATTCCTTGGTTAAACAAAGGTACAAATACTGCAAAAAATAAAAGCTGATATCCTTTACTTAAGTTGAAATACAAAAGTTTAAAAAATATGCATAAAACTTAAGTTTACTTAAAGTATAGAGGTATAAGTAGCTCTATTAAAGTACATGTCTAACATGCTTTGTAAAATGGAGTATTATCTGTTTAATATTAATTTGATCAAGAAATAATGTTTTTAAGTAAGTGTGAAGGTCTAAAGAACATTTTTAAGAACCTTTACAAAATCAAAAGGTTTTCATAAATTCCTTGAATCATACACCCAGGGCAAGAACAATTTAAAAGCCTTTCATTTTTAAGAGTGGAGATGTGATGAGGCAATGAGAGGTCTTAAGATTGGATGCTTAAAAATAGCTAAGTACGTCTGCCAGTTACAATTTCATAATTTGTACATTACTCAATTACAATTATTGGTTCAGATATTTATTAAATTAATGAAGAGTCCTTGTTTTTCGTAGTTTTAGCCGAATCCCTGAGAATGTTCTCCTCGTTTTAGCCAATTCCCTACACAGAAGAAAAATTCTCTATAAAACTGATAGTATGTTTGGGACATTATACTCAATAACAAGCTATTGTACTAGTTTTATTAACATTGCTCATTCCTTAGTCTGAAATAATAAGCTAATTATAACCAGAATATGCATAAATCTTAATGATCATCAGAATGAATGCTTGGATGTATTACTTACAAATAGACATCATAAATGCTGAGTGAGCGCTATTTGAAGTGCTAAATAAACTCCTGCAGTGTTCCAGATGTGTGGCTTTATCATGGCTCAGTCTTCACAGAGAACACTCTGTTCTGCGGTCAGACTGCGGTAAGCTGCCCTTTTTCCAACATCCGTACACTGTAGACGCCGAGTTGTGCAACAGTCGTGAAAAGTGATAATAAGTCGCTGATTGTTTGCTTCTTTGTTTACATATTTTGCATAGTTCTAGTGGTTCACTCCAATGAAAGGAGGTTTATCTTTCTTTTTATTTGGTAATCATGACCGCTACCAAGCATACCAAACTGTTAGTGTATCTTAGGCTAGTTGTTCACAGACTGGGGTCCAGGGACTCCCAGGGGTCCATGGTAAAATGTTCCATTGGGAGGAGAAGATGAACTTCCCTAAAATGAACATTTTTTAATTGCAGTAATTTTGGAGATTTGTGTCTAAATAAGCATATTACGTCAATATATTTCTCTCTGCACACAAACCCAACCCATGATATATAAGCGTAATGTCCACTGGGATGAAGATTTTGTTTAGTATAATTCAATAAATAATAAAGGAACTCTACTGGATGTTTAATCCTTTTGAACATTCCTCAGCCAGAAACGTTCCTTACCCAGAAATTGTTTGGGAACACCCCATTGAAACTCTTTTTGTTCCCCACAACATTGTCACTTGCTGTAAATATACAGAATCTGTAATGTTTCCACTGTTTTCACCCAGTCAGATGCTGACCTGTACAGTTTGTCTTTTTATGTTTTGCTTCATACTCCCTCTGTATGTCTTTCTCTCTGTTTACTTTCTCTCGTTCTCCCCTTCAGAACCACGATGCACAGGGAGTCACACGTGCCCGCAGACTGTTTAGTGGATCTGGAGGAGTCCCCAGACTTAGCAGACAGCACTAGAGGAAATTCCACAGGCTCACATGTTCCTGGTAAAGGCCCCAGAGTGGATCAGGGAGCTGGGATCCCTCCAGCCCCTTGGTGGGGGCAGCTGAAGGGGGAAGACGATAGTTCCAGGACCACAGAAGGCTTCTCTCTGAGCTGTAGGCAGACCCTGGTTAGAGAGGCATTTTAAGTACCATGGTTGGAAAAATAAATGTGTTCCAGAAAGTTACACGCATTTAAAAGTGCTTTGCAGTCAGCAAACACAGGATCATTTGGCTGTTTTCCCTCCTTCTCCATAGTGTGTCATCTCTAAAGTATGAATGTCTTTTTTTATGATCAGAAAAGTTTGAAAAGCTCTCTTTATCATAATTTTGAATGAAGTTTCCTCTATCATTTACAGGAACCATCTTGAATGTGTCATCTTCTATCTCAATTTATTGTGCATATCTAGAGGAGCATTTATTTTTTTGTATGATGTGTTTACAACGTGTCTAAAACACTTTCCATATGCAAGGATCACAGTAGCTTCGAGGTGGATTAGGTTTGTGCAGTCATCTGCTCTTTGTTGACTCTGGAGGGCACTTGGACTCCAGAGTCATGCCCTCTCCCCACCGTCCCCACAGTAGGCCATACCTGACTGCAGGGGCTTTTATTTCCCACCCTGGCCTGAGAGAATAGGTATGAAAGTTTTGGGGTTTTCCACTACGTTAAACACTGGAAGTCCAGTGAAGTGGTTTCCTGGCTGACTTGATCATTTTAACAAAGGATCTTAACTGTGGTTTTACGAACAGAATGTTCTGGATGTAAGTGGTGTAGCATGAGCAAAACAACAGCCCACTCCTCATGAAGTATTTTGAGAGCCCTTAGCTTTCTTTAGCAATTCTCCAGGAAAATGTGGTCACTTCATAGTTTGCAGTCTATTCATAAAGCAGATGCAAATCAAACCAGCTTTGTAATGGTAAGACATTAGATTATTTTGATCAAAATGGTATTTCTAATGAACTTTAGTACTACAACAATATATGATAACAATATATGATAATAATGATGATGGCGGTGATGATGCTGGCTATGATGGTAATGGAAATTATGATGGTGATGAAGATGGTGGGGACAATAGTGATGATGGAGATGATAAAGATGATGGTGGTGGTGGAGATGATCATGGTGGTGATGGTGGAGGTGATGGCAATGACAGAGATGATGATGATGGTGGCGAAGGTGGTAATGATAGTGATGAAGGTTGACTACCTGAAAACTAATTAACACATTAATATAACACACACACACACACACACACACACACACACACACATACATATTATCTAAGCCACTCATCCTTCTGGGTCATGGGTCACATTAATATTGTTAGATGGATTTCAATGAAAACAATGCCATAATTTAGCAGTTTAGGAAACATTAACCCATAATAAAGTTTATGTCCACAGAGATGATTCCTTATTGAAGAAAAATCAAGAATAAATCGTCTTGACCAGTAATGGATTACTGTAGATTATGTCATTACACAAGCAGTACCAACACAATGCGAAAACCTGGGCTGCAAACAATATTGTTAAAGCCGTTAGCCAAACAAAGAATGTTTTAAAGAGTTTTAAAGAGAGAAGGAGAGAGTGTGGTGTAGAGGTGCGGTCTGTCTTATCAAAATGATATGTTTGTCTAGTATTAAGGGGTGCATAAAACCCATGATGGAAAACAGAGGTTCAAAGTTAGAGTTTGTTTATTTGATATGAAACTCTCTCCCTCTGTTTCCTGCCTTTATGCTTACATAACTTGAACCCAGCTCCCTTACATAACATTCTTCTCTGAACTAGAGGACACAAGGTAAATCAGGACTTCATGGGCACATAGTTTTACACGACCCATGGTCCAGCGTCTGTTTTACACCCCTGTGCTATCTGTATAGTGTTAGTCCGTGCAGATAGCAAGCTTGAGGGGCCATATGGCTGGAATGCAGAGCAGGTGAGGGGGCAATAATGAGTCACAGTGACCACTCCTCTTCCTCAGCCCTGGAGCATGGTGTCCAATGGACAGGTCAAGGTTTAGAGCACTCTGTTCTGGAGTCTAATAATAAAAGATTCCATTTGGTTTAGTCAGAAACCTCTCCGTTTTAGAGGATCTAACTTAAGACTTGAGCCAAAATACACCATTTCTAGAGAAAACAAAGATTCTTGGCTTATTATAGTGGTACTTTTGAAAGCAAAGGACAAAGCATGGTTCTTTCTGATTTTGGTAGGAAGTTTAGACCTGGTTGATGCCATAAAAGGTGTAAATGATAGGAAATAAACAAGAGTCTGTTTATAATAGGTTTCTTTCTTCAAAATGATATATCTAGTAAGTATTATGATGACATTTACACTAGTTCCACTCAAGGTTGACAAATGTTTCAAAGCAGATTTGTTGTTATGTATGTACCATGTCAGGAAAGTTACCTTAGGCCTCCAATCCTAAGTCTGAGAATTGTAAAGATTGTAAATTATATATATATATATATATAATGAATGCTCCTCCAAATATGCACATAATATATTATCAAATATCAGATAAGAATATGTGTAGCCAATACATTTGATATAATCAATATGTTATCAATAAAATTTAGTTATCCTTTTTTATCAAACAGTTTTCTTTAGCAAGTAAAACACGCAGTAGTTCCACCAACACATTTGATGCCAGCTGTGCTATTCACTTCGTCCCTTTAGCGCAAACAAAGGCACTTTCTGGGGAGAATACTTGTGAACAGAAGCGCATCGCTCAATTGTCCTCATCCAAACCGAGCTCCATATGTCCATATGTCTCTCTAAGCCCCGCCCCCGCCCCGCCCCCAGCCCCCCAGTGTCGAATTACAGCTCTCCTGCTGCATCGCTGCAAACTGTTTCACTCCAGCCCTGCGATTATCGGCCCAGTACTGAGACACTGAGAGGGCCACTGCTCCTAAAGCTCTGTCCATACGCCTCCAGTGGATTTCACTGCACACTCCACTAATATGATAGAGCAGCGCTGTGCTGGATCGCTTCGTCGAGCGTAGACTGGGGGGTTGGGAGGGAGAACCAAATCTTTTGACCCCAGCCATCATCTCCTGACGAACGGGCAGAGAGCAACACCCCACTGGCTCGCAGGCTCAATTGTTCCCCTCCTTTTGTCGACATCTCCATCGCGTTTTCCTCTAATCCAGAGCTGCTGTTTTCTGAGCGGGATGTGAGGGACCGGTCTCCTTTCTCCCTGCCAGCTTTGGAAATCTCTTTATTTATTCGGAGCACAACAGACGTACCGTTTTTTAGTTCATTCATTCAGCGTGTGGTGAGCGAGGATTTGGAAACATGGAGAGTGTGGAGAAGGAGTGCGGAGCTCTGGGGGGATTATTCCAGGCGATCGTCAATGATATGAAGGTACCAGACCCTTTAAACGGTGTATAACGTGCAGTGTGCTGAGCTACGATGGCTGAAGGTTTTTACTGCCTTTGTTTCCATTGGGCTCCAGCTGCCTGGACCATTGATGCTGGGATTGATGATGAGGGGGCGCAGCATGGAGGAAGGGGCTTTGTTGTGAACCCCAAATCAAACCCCGTGTAGGGCAAGATCTGCAACCTGCTTGGAAAAATCATGAACGTGTTTCTTTGAGAGCATGGCCAGCTAGCCACCACCCACCTAACTAGTCTAGAGCTAGATGGTTGTTTTTTGTTATGATAGCCATGTGAGCACTATAATTGCTGATGTCTTGAAGCAACTGTTATGCATGATGCTGGGGTGTCAGTTTCTTAGTTGTTTGGTCATTTAGTTGGATTTCAATTTAGAATTAAGAGGCTGCCAGTCATTGCTTTAGTAATGGCAGTGCCAAATCTCTACCAGGCATGATATTAGTTAGCAAAGTGTATTGCCCAACTAAGCACCAGTGCTTTAGCTTGTTATACATTATTTATAGATTACCATTCCCCATTTGCTGAATTTGGTAATGTGCAGGCACAATACTCATGATACAATAGTACATACTTTAATGCACCTATTGGTTTGTAATTGAGTCTGTATTAAGACAGAGTCTGCAAAAAGTCCCCCATTACTGGTAAGATAAAACAATAAGGTTGAAAGAAGTTACTATATGTTATTGAGTATTGGTGAACAGCTACTGATAAGACATCTGTAGAGCAGATAACGATAGACTAGATAATTATAGTGTCACTAGTTAACCTGCCATTAAGAGGTCAGGGGTTATCAGGCACCAATTTAATTTGTGCTTCACTTGTTACATTAAGAAAAAGGATGCTACTCTAGGCGGGGAATCATTACGCCACTAATATAAATGCTGTATTTCCATATAAACAAAGTGTGAACATTTGAATGATTATTGTTTTTAAAGGTCAGTCAAACGTGATGAGATGCACATACAACAGTGTGTATTGTAGCTGACACCACAAGATCTGAACGTTTGAATGCTTTTCTATAGTGTGGAGAAAGTTACTGAAAGATGAAGACAACTGCACACTCTCCCGCTGTCATTATCAGATACTTGATATGCTATATATAGTCAGCCCGCCCACATATTTGACTTTTGTGAACACTTTTCAACTCCTCAGTCTCAAATTGCTGTCCTCCAGCACTCACAGCTCACACTCTACAGTAGTTTGCAACTTTCTGGGGAGGCTGCCAAGCCATCGCTTTATTGTAGCAGAACGTGGTGGCTGTACATAGCGTTTGATGGATGGCTACTATTTTCCCATGTTGCTCCCATCTTTCAGCATTGATTGTTGTTGTTGCTCACAGAATGCCATCATATGAGTGAACTTCTCTGGCTTGAAGCCAGAACAGATGACAGTGCAGTGTTGACGGGCCCAGTGCTGGCTCAGGTCCAGGCTTGGCTCTGTTCTGCTTGTTCGACATGTGGCACGTTAAGGAGTGAGTGGTGATGTCAGCGATGTTTGTGGTCAGGGAAAGCCCTCTTTAGCCACCTAATACATCGAAGGCTTTTTTCCATTGAGCCTCCACAGATTATGATAGTTATGACATGTAACGTTCTGTTTTTAAAAAGGTTATATTTTCAACTGCAATTTGATAGTCGAGCTGAACTGAGAGTTAATTCTGTATCATTCGGTAGCATAATGGCAGCTAAAAGAGATCGGAGGCTAGTGTGAGACAGATCTACATACAGGCTGGAGCTGACCTTTGGGTTAAGCAGACTTTTAAAGGATTTGGAGATGCAACATGGAGGCTAAGTAGGCCTAGATATAGACATATAATGAAGGACAGATTGTAATGTGTTGAAATAATTCACAAACCCTTAGAATTCTAGATTAAGTTTCCATTCATAGAAAATAATATACACCTTTTTAAAATAAAGGTGCCAATAAAGGATTCTTGGGGGCAAATCTCATAAATAAACTACTGTTAGGTCTTTAAAGAACTTTTCAGTGGATACTTCTGTAAAGAACCTTTCTTGTAAGTGATATCTGAGTGTATAGAAACTTTTTAAACCTCAAAACATCATTTTCTATTCCAGTGAAAGGTTTTTACTAGAACAGTATGTCCAAACCAAAAAAAGCCCTTCAAATCATGGAAGTATTACCAGGTTTCTGTTTCAGCAAAGAGATAACAGACCAATAAGCAATAAAAACTGTGTTTTTGTATATCAGTGCTCCTCAAGAGTGAAGGGTCCACCTGGATTTGGAGGACTATGGGCCTTTTTTGACCTGCAACAACCTCTTCTGTTCATCTGTCTCAGACTCAATCTCTCCATAGCCTTCAGCTCTCCACACGACAGGAAAGCTAATTAGCCACCTGTGGCTGTGAGAGTGGACACAGCGATAGTTGTGGAAGGAAATGCGTTCAACATGGCAGTAATGTCTCAAGAGTGCGTCTAATTCAAAACCTCTGCAGCACTAAATGCATTGGAATGCCTTAGCAACTTTTAGAAGAGCAATACAATGATTTAGTGTTTGGTTAAGTGTAACAGCACTGTTGTGTTATTACAAATTATCAGTGCACTCTGTGGTTGGAGATAAAAGTTATAAAGATAGAAAGTGGTTCTCAGTTGTTTTTCAACTGATATTTCTTAGAAAATTAAGTTTAAGAGAATCCACTTGCAGAAGGAACCAAAACAGTCATCAAACTGTACTCAAAAGTTTTCAACTTTGAGAGATAGGAGAAAATCAAGCTCCACTCTTACTTCAGATCTGAAAAACTACACTTGTTTCTATCCATCCTTCCACTATGTGAAGATAACTCAATGCTAACCAGACTGAGTCTAAAAGGGTGTGTAGTTGTCAAGAAGCTGCTACTGAGAAAAGAAAAGAAACAAAAAAAGAACATTTGCAAAACAAACAAGAAAGCTGCTGATATTCTAAAAACAATGGACCGACCACCCAGAGTCCAGACCTCAACAATATGAATGTGTTTGGGATTACTTGGATTGTGAGAAGCAGGAAATGCAACCAACTTCTAAGAGATTCTAAGGATTTTTTGCAAAAACTGAAAGTAAAAATATTCTTTTTTTTTGGGATGCTGAGTAATTAATGCTTATTTAATAACCACTTTTCCTGTAAATTAATTACATGAAGGGTGATCATCTTTAATCTGATTGTGCAACTTTTACAGAACAAATTCCAAAGAATACATGAACAGGCCAGGCACTGTTCATCACACCCAAAACTTTGGTTTGGTTACAGAAAACAGATTGGTCAGCCTTGTGCCCAAATGTTGTCCATTAAAGCTGAAATGTGCTTAATAAAAAGAATGAGCTTTGTATCTAAGATATGTTCATCTCATTACTTTTTTTCCTGTTTTTTTTTTCATTGACAAGGCTTGTGATTTTTTCAGTCCTAATGTGACAGTGATACTGTGTACAAGCACACTGTATATATCACTATATCTCAGTACAACTAGTCTGGATCATAAGATAGTGATATAAGAAGCACATTTTACAGATAACCTTCAAAAAGGAACTGGGAGTGCTGAGCTACTTTGCTTTTAGTTACCTCCAGGACAGAAATGATATAAAATCTGTTGATGATGGATCTCATTGTCCATGGCCATTACAGACTCTCACTGTTCTATACCTTGGATACGGATCTCATGTTTCTTCATTTGAACCCTTTACAAAATGATCATCTTTGGTCCTTTGTTAATAGCCGCTTATTCATGGAATGCTTTTAGTGTGTCTTTTACAAGTCGAGTTCTTAGACCCAGATGCTGTGCTCTGAGGGTTTAAGAGGTAACTGGCTGTTCTCATGTTCTTCTACTCTCTGTCTGAGGAGCATCTGCTGAACAAGGCGAATCTGTTTTTCATTGGAGCCATAAAGCTGTTGTACAAAGCCTTCAGGGAGATAGTTGAGGAGAATGATTGTAAACAGAGAAAAACATTCTCTGTGAAAGGCTCTTAATACCCAATATCATTTTACTGTTGTCGTTGGTAGATGACGCAGCATTGAAGATGTGTAAGGTCTCCCTTGCCTAGTTTCTCTGTAATAGACTGGTGGTAATGAGAATGATGTGTGGTGGAGGTGAGCTTATGTCTGTTTATGCTTGACTGAGCATCTGTTCCTCATCTGAGGTGTTTTTCCTTCTTGGTGGAATGTGAAGGCTGTTGAGCATGCGCTAAAGTGCTTGTATACCTGTGTGCATGTGAGTTTTTTTCTTAAAGGGGAAATATGACTTATTTGACTGGATATATTGTCCTTAGTGACTTTCTAACTTAACATGCATGTTTCTCTTCCTCTAGAACTCATACCCCGTGTGGGAAGACTTCAGTGCCAAGGCCACAAAGCTACACTCCCAACTCAGGTGATAAATCCTGTGTGCACAGTTATGCGTAGATTTTTCACAGATTGTTTCGTATTTTTTTCTGTTGGAACAAAGCCTTGTATCTCCAAAATGATTTTCAAGAGCTAAAAGAGTTAAAAGTCCTTAACTATAAAGATCAAAACTGTTTCTTCACTTTTTCTGAGTAATTCAATAGTAGAGGTGGAAGGTCACTCAGAGGGGTTTGATATGAAGTGGTTCATTATACAGACAACATACTGACTTGGATTTATTTAAAGTGGTGTCTACAGGGGTCGTGGTGTCTACAATGGAAATGTATCCATTTTATTTACTATCCAAAGCCTCTCTTGAACCTACACATTTTCTGTAAGGTTCTGTGAGGGGGCTTTTAATGGCATTAAACACTTCAGACTTCTGGTTCCCATCACCACCACTGTGAACAATTCTGTCTTACATTTCTCTTGAATGGTGCATTTCACTTTAAACTACTAGGAGTGACTTTGTTTACATCTTACCCATTTAATTCTAAAGGAATCTTGAAAACTCACATTTTTTGCAAATTAATTTTCAAGTAATTTTGAACCATTTCTTTTAATCTATTCATCATGAAATGAAAAATGAATAAATGATAAAAATGGAATCGAATAAAAAACAATGGAATTATGTCGTTTTGATCTGATGATGTATTACCATATGATTGTATTATAATGGAGAATATTAGACAATGGTCAGTTCAGTTCTCATTTTTCAGGCTACCATCATTCTAACCCATGGAAGTTTAGAGTTTGGTTTTGCTACATCGTTTAAATGTGCATGTTTAATCACACAAGTTACACAATGAATTGTGTTTACATTTAATTTAAAATTTTAGCCATTTAAATGCAACCCCTAATAACAGTGATGTGTTCTCTGTGCACTCCTCAGGACCACAGTACTGGCTGCAGCAGCTTTCCTGGATGCCTTTCAGAAGGTGGCGGACATGGCCACAAACTCAAGAGGTAAAGATTCTGAGGAAACTAGCTGGAGAATATAAAATAGTGAAGTCATTGTGGTAAAGTCTTTTTGATAGGGTGCCTGTTGCTCTAAGAGCCACTGAACAACTTTGTCTCCACATGCAGTTAGACATCATAATGCCAAGTGCACAATGTAAAGAGTTCTCGCTTACAGTAAGATACAGAGCCTGATAATCACTCAAAGGCTTTTTAATGCTTTCCTAGTTTATCTTTTCCCCAACAAAGTATCAGAGTCTTTGAAAGGTTATGCATGGTTTGTTATTGTTCACTCAAACTCTGATTACTTGATTAATCATCAAAATAATTGGTAGTTTACTCTGTTACCAAAGTAATCCATAGTGACAGACCTACTTACGATCAATGGTACAACAATAGTAATTTACTTGTCTTTGAGTTTTAGTTTCCTTTGTCACTTTTTTATCTGCATACCATATCCTACTGGCTTCATAAATGACTCTGCACTCAGAAACAGAATCTTACTGCTTCATGAAGTGTATACAGCATCCACTGCAGCCATAATCTTCAGCACTGATGGCAGTTGCCATGGGCTACAACAGTTTCCAAGGTTATCACCTGAATAGAGTTGCTTCCAAACTCAGGTATCCAGTGGAGATCAGACACAATGATTTGCTTTTAGTTCAGAGAGAGCAGACTAAGAACGCTGGATTGTTCTTAATGGGATATGAATTGATATATGTAATCAGTAGATGTTTTTGCAGTTTAAATCAGTGATGTGTTATAAATAGGGATGAAATTCAGACCAGATCCACTTGGATTAGCATTGCAGAATTAGAACTACTATCTAGAATACTGTCTAGAGTTACTATCCTGTTCCATTACCTGCCATTAAAATTTAAGAATGTGAAGTTACTATTTTGGAGATTTGAGATTTTGTCCCAACAGCAGTGATTTCTGGAATTTCTTCCAGAATGAGCTTCAGAAATACATTGAATGCTTCATCAAATATCAAATCTCTCTCTAAGCATCAGTCCAATGCTGAAATATTTTTCAAACAGTTATCTGCCCATACTGAAATGCGTTTGATATCATAGTGCATTCCTGCCTTTAAACACACTATAAAGAGTTTCAGTGAGTTTATTGGAAGGGCTGCTGTTGCTGGGGTGCAGAATCTGGTGGTACGTCCTAGTTTTAGCTTCAGATCCTCTGGGGCGAGCATGCTCTATCTTGCTCAGACCTGCTCACTTTCACACTCACATGCTCTAGTGAGCCTATCAACTTTATTATTTTAAAAAGACAGACAGCTTGAAGAGGGTAGCAACAGCTGTGCATCTAATACATGCCATAGATGTATTAGAGGCAAACATCCAACAACAATCTACATATCGTCACTGTCATAGCAAAACCTCATATCTCCAAAATGGTAACTTAATAAGAGGAAAACAAAATCCTAAATTTTAATGTATGTTGATATATCATGATTTTGTTTGGAAATATTTTTGATTATTCACATTGGTCCATTGGTCATTTATTGTTCAATATAAAGTCCAGCTTGGTTTTAGTATAAAAGGTTAAAACTGCAAAACGTAAGATTAGGTTTTGACATGACAGCAATGATGTTGTCCTATTTTAAAAACTGTTGCAAAGTCTGAACCTGCCCCCTATTTCCCTTACCCCTCCTCTACTCAATCATTACTAGACATCAATGAACCAGATAATTCCATTTGTCCTTAGGGAATGCTAGGGTCCATACTGGGCTTCTAAACTTGCAACATAGCAATAAATTAGGCCTGAGCACTGTCACTGCTTAGGAGGATGGCTTTAAGATGAACATTTAAACTCTCTCCCTTAAATCATCTGCCTGAAAGCAGTTTATTTGATTAGATCATTTCTTACATACTAAAAATAGAACCAAAGAATATAAAATGTAAACTGGGATTGGGGAAAAATAGAATTTAATGACAGATAACTGGCATTTTATATCATTTTTACCGTGCTTAGTTTTGTATCTGGTGTTCTTCCACAGGAATCGTATGTACGTGTGTGATGGCCTGATTTTCAGTATGTAATGTAACAACATAGATGTTGTCTGCTCTAGCGCCCGCCAATAGAAACAGAGTTGCTAATCCCTGGTATTAAGTATTAGCAGTCAGTCCTTTCTGAATCAGGGGCAGGCTGGAAGTGCTGGCACAGCTGGAGATTTCACTAAAACACTGCCATCAGGTCACAGCCTGCATCCTCACCGCTCCCTACTGACACACATTCAGCATCCCAATTAAGAGCACAGTCACTTTCTAACTGATCACATACAGTAATTCTCTTGCTTACTCTTACAGAGCAGGCTTAGATGCTGTTAAGTGGTAGGAGATTTTGGTAGGAGACACAATGAAATTTACTTGATTCAAATGTGTGCATCATTTCTACATCAGTAAACATATTACATCACTACAAATATTGTCCAATGTAAGAAAACAGAAAGACAAAATGGCATTGATATGTATTTTATTAATGTGTAAGTGATTAATGTGGAAGTGTTCTGCCTGTGTGTTATGTACAAAACGGTGTGGTTTATGGACCTCGTGCATGGTAAAACACAAAATGTCCTTCTCTTCCTTATGCATTTGCATATGAGGGAAGGTCACACCAAAAATGTAGTAGGGTTGCACAAAAAGTGGGTGCAGCTAATTACATAGTCATTTTTGTGTTGATTTTTCTCCAAGTTTTAAAACCAGCTGTAAATTTGCATTCGTATCTGAAGGGCATGTTTCTGAGAAACTTCATTTAACAGTGACAGCAGATGCAGCAGTTAGACGAAAGCATGAGTAGCCACAAGAATGTTTATCATTAGAATAAAAAAGTTTAAACTCTCAGGACCAGATGGACATATGTGAGAAGACACAGTGCAGTAATGCGGCTGCAAGATGTGCAAACAGTCCGTGTTGTTGTTTCACAAACTCTTTTATGAGCCTGAGTAGAATAAGAACCCTGTCAAATGTTTTTGTGGTAAAAAATCTCATTTATTAACACTACTATCTCCTCTTCACTGAACTTTCATTTTCATTGTCTCCAGCTTGTTAACAGCTCCAGCTTTGCATGACAAGCTGCAGTCTTACACGCTTTGAGCTTTGCCGGTGCTTGTATGTCCATCTTGCCCAATGTGTTCCCATGCTAGTACACAAAATGTATAATACATCGATGTCATTGTCCAGTAATATGATTATTCAAGTCTTGTTATTGTAATAAAACCTTGTATCTTCAGAATGTAACTTGCATTAAATTAAATTTCTTTATAGCAATTATATAAAATCCCAGGCTGATTACAATATTTAAGGTTTATTATTTAGTAACTACAGGGACTTCAATGCAAACCGGCTGAGCTATTCTTAGGTTATAGAAGTGTGTAATAAAACTTTGGGCTAGCTGGTGGGCCCTGGCCGTTTAAGATGTTAAAGTGTCCAGGACTTTAACTGGCCTCATTCCTCTGGTTTAGTGTAATCAGATGGTTGCAGTAATTGGTTTGTTTTAAGATATACTGGCTTGTAAGGAAGTATAGATGGTATATGTTTTGAGTGAAATGAAAGTTTTGCCAGTGCTGAGCACTTTGTTCTTTCAAAGAGGATCAGATTATCGCTAAGGAAAAGGGTGTTTATGTGCATGTATCTGAGCTGTTAGAAAAGTTTCAGTGAATATACACAAGTGAATTCACTGGATATCTTGGCTTTGCCCCCCTCCCCAGCTTCTTTTCTTTTGGTGGACTTTAGCTGCCTGGCATGTTTCTCTGAGCTTTTACGGGTATGGCGTCATGGTCAGTATTTATAGGGCAGATGTGGGAGTTTGAAGGCAGTCTATTAGAACATGTGTCAGACAGGCGTGGAGGGTTTTGATGTCTCTGTCTGCTTCATATTTGCGAGCCCGACCTCTAAGAATAGCTGCATTTGTTTACATTCGCGAGATGGGACAAAAATGTTTCGGTGGATATTTACTCAGAAACTCTTTTGTACTTTGTACTGAAATGCGCTTTGTTCCTCTGGGCCTTTGCTGACACGCTTGCCAGATGTTGTGTTTTTCTGTGCCATAGATTGGGAAAAGGCCTCCGTTTTATGGAAAGCACTGTTTTGTTGTTTTGTGATTTGGGATCGTTGTTGTGTTTGGTCCCACTGAACACCATACATCCAAACATCTGTAGAGACCCAAGGTTGCCTCTGAAATCAAGGGTTTTAATAAGGAATTTGCCCCCTCCTTGCTGCGGTAACAGCGTCTAGTCTTCTGAGAATGCTTTGCACTAGATGTTGAAACATTGCTGTGAGGATGTGATTGAGTGCCACTGCTCCACAGCACAGTTCTGAGGGGCTTTATACCCCTCTCACCGACACGTGTCCCATTCTATTGGCAATGTATTTCTATGGAGATGATACAAGTTAACTAAGCACAATCGAATGGCATATAGTAGGAGTGGGTGATATAGCATGAATATGATATCACAATACTTCAGGACATTTTCTCGATACATTATATGCATTATGAAGTTTAGTTTTACTGGGGTTTGATAAATACAAAAAATATCAGCAGTGCCACATTAAAAAATACCATGAAAAACTTTAAATATAATGATTTTAATCAACACTTCACACACTGTGCTGCACTAAATCCAGTTAAACAGGCCTAAGTATAACCTCTTTGCAATTAAACATGCAGTTGTCCAGTGTTATTTAACCTTTTAAGATTGAAGACACAAAAAGATGCTTTCTGCTGTTTTATCTACTCTTTTCCACAACATGATTTCTGGATGCATTTACTGCATTTATTTGATATGTAAAGAATATGATCTAATGATGAAAATTCTGAGATTTTTTTTCAGTATGTATCAAAAGTTACATCTTTGAATTTAAACTCATTAATAGGAATATAATACACTCATCAGGGATGTTTTATTGTAAATCTGATTAAACAAATCAATAATAAGCACTTACTGATCAGAATTCTTTGACGAATGAGCTCATGCACCTGCTCCAAAAAACAAAATAAAA